ACACACACATATATATTATATATATATATATATATATATATATATATATATATATATATATATATACATATATAATGCTTTTTTATCTATACAATTATATCCATTGTGTGGCATATATATATGTGATGTTGTACTTATGTAGGCGGAATGAAAGTATATTGAAGCGAGAAGTTTGAAAGCTTAATCTGTCAAATATGACGAAGCTCTTAGCCATTGTTGACAGATCTCACGCCATTGATATAGATGGGACGCTTCGCTTACAATATGGCGCGAGGAATTATTGTTATACTGTGCTTTGGGAGTCAATTTCAGTGCGCATGATATGATCATTCGGCTCACCATATTCTAAAACCACCCGAAAAAAATCAAAAGCAGCAATCTGAATCCTGCCAGTATGGGCACTGATATCGCAAAAATCTGAGTTCAAAGACACGCGGGAGCTTACTACTGTTGAAGTAAATACAAGTATAGAAGGAAAAAAATAGAGAAATACTGGGTTAGATGACGACATTCAATATATAAGCTACATGCATCTCGTTTCTCGTTGTTTTAGGATACAGGTACAAGTGCTTGCCATCAGTACCCTGTATGAATATCTGTATCAACTCGATTTGAATACAGATGTACTGACGTGTATACAAACTTGATAAAACGTACAGAAATGTATCTCAATACACGATTTTAAAACCACAAGAGAAAAGATTCTGCAAATAAACTTGATTGAGGCAGATGAAAAAGAGTGTGATTGACTCTGCTTCACGTACCCTACCTGTGGGAAGGGTCTCTTCAGATTGACAAGTGAGACATCAATGGCCACCATTCAGTCAGAGCCCAGAAAAAAAATCTACCGAAATTAAAAGAGTACAACTTAGTAAGAAATATATCGGCATAGATGGTTTAGTTCTTCAGCGTTAAATTCACAATTACGCTACGTATCGTTGAAAAGCAAGTACACTCTCCAGTGTGAGTGACACCTTTCAATCAAAAATGGGACCGTCAGTTGCGGGACCCCGCTTGTATGAGAGAACCATTCGAGCGCACTCGTTAAATCCCTTTCTTCTCGCCTTCATCATTATCTTCGCAGGACACGCGTCAGCACGCCCGTCATTCACCAACATCCTAACAATATCCGTGTGGCCATACAACACTGCCTTGCCTAAGCCCTTATGTACTAATGCACGACCGTCTTCTAATAATAACCGCACCACGTGCGTGTATCCCTTCTCACTCGCAACGCGCACTATATCCCCTACTAGCGGGTCGCTGGGATCTATCAGCTGTTGTTCTAATAATAGCCTGACCACCTCAATTTGCCCTCCAGCAACGGCTTCTTTTAATGCTCGTCCGCGAGTCATGTCAACACGATTGTCTTCTATTAACAGATGAACCACGTCTAAGCTCCCACTCCCACAAGCCTCCCACCACGTACGGGAGTTGAGTGCACACGGGTCCGCGCGCCTGTCATCCAGTAGTAGCTTTACGATATCAACGTACACATTGCTGATGGCTTTGACCAGCGCAAAACTATGCACAGCTGCCGGATCACACCTACGATCACTCAACAATATACGCACAATGTCTATGTGGTTCTCAAAACAGGCTTCGAGGAGACTTTCACTGTCACTCAGGGCTGGATCGCATCTCCCGTCGTCGATCAGTAGCTGTACAATCGCTGTGTAACCACCCGCACATGCCAAGGAGAGCGCTTTTCCAAAGGCTGCGTTCGGATTTGCTTTGCCGTGTTTTAATAACATACGTACAATGCTAGTGTAGCCGTGTTTGCAGGCCAGTTGCAAGGGAATATCCAAGCACACAGTGTGTTCGGAGGGATGCGAGGTGACAAACTCAAGATACACTTGCACCACATCCGCCCAGCCTATGTAACACGCACGCAGGACGAGTAGATAGATAGCGCGTGATGTTGGAAAGACAGGCAAGGAGGTAGCAGCACGGTGTTGTGTGCAATCAGCACCGTCGGGTGCGGGCTGTTTATAAAGTTTGCATGAGGCACCCGAACAATATAGATCCAAGATTCTAAACAGTTCGAATAGGACACGAGGCTTCCCCAGGGTGTCCACACACGTGTGATAGAGTTCGTCTATGTACTCACAGATGTCATCGTATACAAATCCATCTTGTCTTGATGTGGTGAAGAGAGATGTGATGATAAGGTCGTCCACACCTACATTGTGGTACCTGGCGTGGAAGACACTCTTACGAACAGCATTAAACAGTACACGAGCGATCAGGTCCTCATCGGCACAGTCGGCACTCAGTTGTGTGCACACTAGACTGGCTTGCAAGTAGTCAGTGGGCTTCAAATACCCAAGGGCCTTGAGCCTGACTTCTGCTGGTATGTTTAGGAGTGTATGCACCATTGGATCGGGAGGGTCGACGTTAGACTTTGAAAAAAAAACAACTCTTAATTACACGCACGACTAAATGAGAGACATGCGCCTCCACCCATCCATTTATAAATATATATATAAATAAATATGTAACATAATACCTGCAGTACATATTGTATTTTTTTTTAATAAGAAAAAAATGCCCAAGGGCAAGTGAAGAGTATTTTTGATAAATACTCATACTCAATAAATAGTAAATACAGACTATTGTCATATGTTTTTCAAAGAGGCTGCGCTATTGTCGTACAAATGCTTTTAAAACAAAACAAAATCAATAGTGCTTTCTTTAGAAACAAAACAGTATTATAAAAATTAAAAATTTCAATATCTCTCCAGACCTCTCCTCTGTATCTTTTACTCTAAAATTAAGTATTTTATTGTTTGATTGAAGGCTATGATTTTATTTATTAATATATAGTAAAATAATAGTAATAAAATATAAACGCTAACACATTCAGAATTATTTATTTACAGTTTACAGAAGAAGAGATATAAGTTACATTTGAAAGGTACAGGCGAGTTCCAGGTTATACAAAAGGTGACCGTATGATCCCTCCAGCTTGATCATGGCTGATACAGTAAACCCTACACCGGGGTCAATACCGGATCTATTTAACGATGAAAGCACACCTAAGCTACCGGTTAAGACGCATCTATCAGGATTGCCCATATGTGTCGATGATTTTCTCACGCTCAACCCGGAGTTTCTCAGCACAGTAGATTCTGCGCACGAATTGGTATTGAACTGATTTGCTAACCGCATAGACTCGTTTATGCCTATTATGCAGAGTCTACGATTAAATATACCTTCCAAGTACTTTGCGTCCCCCAAAAAAATGTGCATTGTTCGCAAGTGCCAGCTGTGTGTCCAGGAATCTAAGAGTAGCACGGAAACCTCACACATATATACGCATGTCGAAAGTACATCGCCGTATCTGTATAGAAAGTTCCACAAATTCGCTTCTGAATACTCAATAGTATTGGGTGTATTCTAATATATATATATTTATATATATATATATATATATTATTATAATATATATATATATATATATATATATATATATATATATATATTATTATTATATATATTATATTATATACTTATAATACTCATCGCAAGTTAATTTCTGAAGCTTCGCAGAGATCAATGCCTTGGGACACATACAGCATTGGCATTTCGAATATCGTTTTCAAATACACGAGTATTGATATATTCTTGCAGATAATTGTTTGTGCGGTTCTGAGTACTGTCTAACCTACCTCTTGTAGATGCAAGCTTCGACTCGGATCTGAAGCGCAAAGCAATTGGAGCTCAGTGTATCTTTGGAGACAGGCCATCGCCGTCAGCTACCCAAGTCAAAAGGTACGCATATCCTCTTTTAATTCCAAAGTTCTTTGAACGTACGCTTTTTATGCAAGTACAAGTCATCTAACCAAGTTTCACAGCGTGTGTGATTTTCCATAATCATGCGTAGTTGTCAGCATATGCTATTTATGTATGTATAAGTTATCTACCACGTCCATGTGTTGGTTGTTGTGTATCTATTTTCCAGAAATGTCCCCCTATGTCGAAAGATGTATGCATGGTATCATATATACTGAGACATTCATGTTCGGGTCTATGTAGGAGGTTGATTTTTACATGCATGACCTTTATCCAGTCCCAATGGTACCTTGGCAGTAGTAGACACTCTAGCTTCTATTGTATTGGAAGCACCCATTAACGCTCGCAACACGACGAGCCGTTGCTTCTTCCCGCATCCAAACCATGTGTACAATAAGAACAATTGATGGCGTGAAATAGTAAAAACACTATTGGGTATTTTGTTTCTATGCCCAACAAACGATCTCCTGGGTTTAACGATATTCGCGCAAGACAATAAGGAAGCGATGTACACAACGTCAGTATATTAATTTCTGGACCTAACCCATATACATATGAATATATATTCGTGGAATTGTCATGTTTATAAACTTCGTTGAAACTTAAACTACCCACACTCATTCGTTCTCAAATACGGTCTGGCCCATTTTCCAATAGTGCATTATTGGGATTACAACGAGCGCAGCGCAAGACAATAGGGAAGCCGACCAACACGGGGAAAAAACCCGCTCTAGCCGGATTGGTTAAATTAAATAAACCGAAATCATAGCAAAGCACCTGAGTGAGCATTTTATCATACGTCCATATGAACTGCAAGTTTTCGTTCATAATCAAATATACATAGATGGCATGTGTATGACGTGTTACAGTCAATTAGGTGTTGGTGCCTTTATAGATATTCAACACACATTTGCATTCAATCTCTCACACACACAAAAAATCATTTTGGTTGCACCTAATAAATTCTCAAAATATCAAAATAAATAAAGAAAAAAAGATCATCACAATGTGCTTCAGAGAACACCGTATTTGTATCAGTTGTCATCCTGTGTCTTTGAATATGACGAATTTCGATTGTACTACTGTACCGATAACTGTTGCACCTATACGCGATTCGCTTCCTGTGCACACGCCCGTCAGTTTATCATGCGTAGAGCGCAGCAGTACCCGGCAAGTAGCACCTCTGCTTTAGCCGGAGTTACAACACGATAAACAAAAGTATTCGAGATCGAAAGAGTTCCTTTCAAGTATTGCCCGGTCGAATAGTATGAATAGCGTTCGTTGACTGCAACTTGGAGCGAAGAACCCTTCTTTCAAATGGAAAAGGATACATATCTTAGTATTACTGGCTTAGATAGCACAGGCCAGCCCACAAGCGGATCAATTGATTGTTGATCAGGAGTGTGCAACACAGGCGTACGGAATATCGTTTTCCAGTATGCGATTCTACCATCCTATTGAAAACTTAGCTGCGCACATAAGATTTTAGGGTTTTCGGCTCGATTAATTTTGATCCAAAGCTTTGGGGAAGCTACGGTCTATGAAAAAAATATAATTTGTGAGCATATACATCTGAATTTTGCGATTTTGCCTTCCTGTTGAGAACACTCCTCTGTACCGGTAAAAAAAATAGTGCTGAAAAAACCTGTCAAGTATGGGGTGTAAAGAGAAATTTCTAGTTCGTATTTAATTTGAAAGCGGCTATGTTCAATACGCAACTAAGACAAGCAGCTGCGATTACAAAAATCACAATACGGCAAATAGGAAAGCTATTTTAATATAACGGTTAAGCACTCGGTCCTCCTGTTGGCGTGTCAGTAACGCTGACTAAGATACCATTTGCGCAAGAACCCTATTCTTTCTTTATGCGTTGAGGGCAGGTTCCAAGGGCGTTTGTGCGTGGTTTACCAATCGATCGTTGCAATTTGTTTGTTATTACATTCTTGCTGCCGCAAAATGTTGCAACCAATACACAAACTTAAAAATCGTAATATGACTGCACCGATAGCAATGAATGTACTGATACATTTCATAGAGATTATTTATTCGTAGTTACCCTTACTTTTCTATTTTAGATTTGGACAAATCAGTAGCAGAGCTGGAGGATCAGTCTCCTCGTCAAGCGGTACTATCCTCTCGGTAAGGATGAAATCAGCCAACCCAGGCCCTATTGATTTAAGTTCATGCGATATTCGACTCGTGATATACAGAGATATCGTAGGATACATTTAACCTTGAAACAGCTGTCAGACAAGCTGTTCGTTGGTCCGCTCGACTAGGCCGTGTAATTGAGGTGTATTAGTAGGGATACATGTCACCTTGACATGCTGTAGTGTGTTGACGCTGTTGAATTCTTTGGAGACAAACTTCCCACCGCGATCACATTTAAGTTCCCTAAGGTTCGCGAGGTAGTCTTTTCCTATGTCTGTGTAGAAGACGTCCAATGTGGCACTGGCATCGTCATTATGTCTGAGTGGGTATACGAAAGGCTGTCCGCTATTGGCATCTACATATTTAATGTTGCATGTGTAGCCTGTTGGGGACGTTGGCAAACCCGTGTGTAGGTCAACGTGGAAGACTGTACCGACGGGTGGTAGTGTGCTCTCGTCTTTGGATGTGCGTGAGATTAGACGTCGTCACATTTTCCCACGAACGCAAGGGTTGCAAAACGTAAGTGCGCGTGGACGAAGTATGCATTTTCCTTCGGCGTCTAATAGTGCTGCTGTTGGTGGAACCGCGTGCTTAGTGCTGCCTACGCGAGCAACGCAGATATACCGCCACTTAGGCGGTCCGGTATTCTCAGTGCCATTCTGTAAGAACGTGTCGGCGGTGGTTTCGATGAGTTCCACATGTGAGTGTAACTGAAGTTTCGTTTGGTTGTAGTTGCGCGTGTTAGGTTGAAGCGGAAACCCCTTAGTGATAAGACCATCTTCCTTCTCAAGCTTGAGAAGTGCATCTCGCCATGTTTTGATACGGAAAGTATATTGCCGTAGAGGTGTGTGTTTGGCTGTTGCCATGATTGTTTGAATGCGTCGTGTAGTGGCGCATCTGGCTCTAAACTGCAGTAGACAGGAACTTGTGCATTATGTTTCTGAGCAAAGAGGTCTATGCCTATCTCGCCGAAGACATCAGTAACGTGCGTCTTGACTAGAGTCGGGTTTAGCTTCCAGTCATCGTGTGAAGGCTTGGCTGGTGTGGTAGGTGTAGTATTGCTCGTCGTCAGAGTGTTACGTGGGTCGCAGCGGTGTCCTAGTCTATCGTGCCAGTTCTCGAGAGAGGTGGCTGTGAAGTTAGCCACAGTATATTGTCCATTGCGATGTAATAGTTCATCGTTCTGGAGTATGTGACACTCCGTCGGAACGAATTTGTTGGGTTCCGATGGTAAATAAATTACATAGTTGTGCCGTTGTAGTACTTGTACGGATAATATATTCTGTGTCGCGGTTGGCATAATAAGTACTGTTCCTAGGCCGGATAGTACACCGCGTTAAGTAAGTATAATTGACTCTTATTAGAAAACTCTACAATAAAGCGTCCGGTGTGTAAGTCTTCGACACCATCTGTATTAGTGCGTATATGAACCATTGCTCCAGAGTCGATATGTGAGGCAGTAAGAGGTAACGTTTGTGCGGGCCCTAGCAAAGTAGCATTGAGTATATTTAATTTGTAGTGGCACTCAGGTATGGTGTGTGGAAGAGTAGGATGTAGAACTTTCAAACTAGGTACAGTTTTGAGTACCTGTGGATAGGGCCCCGTCCCTTCAATTTTACTCGATGCATGCCTCGTCGTTGTGGCCAGGTTTGTTGTCGCCCTTGCTACAAGTGAGAGTCGAGCGGTCAGCGGGACATTTCTTCCCGATGTGATCCTTCGATCCGCATTGTCGACAGTTGAATTTTTGGCAACCGTAAATACTGTGACCTACTTCTTTGCACAAGGGGCATGTGATCTCGCGAGGTTGGCGCTTATCTTTCACGTCTTTCGGGTCCGGCTGTGTGGTGATGGCGTTGATTCTCATTGTTGTATTGCTTGTCGCGTTATGGTGATCGCCGTCGAACTTGAAAGTCATGCGATATACCTCATTGATGTCTAATTTGTCAGTGTCTAGATCGAAGATGTTGGATCGGAGTAGTTGATAGTCGTTGCCTAGACTATAGAGTATTGCGCAGATAATGTGTTTACCTGGAATCACCTCGCCGACATCGAGAAGTCCCTGACGAATTTCCTCCAAAGTCTGCATTGTCGTCTCTGTAGTACCGGATGCCTTGAAGTTGATGAGACGCTTCATACCGTCCCAGAAGCGCCCGTGGCTACCAGTGTTTTTTGTAATACAAATGTAGTTGAAGAAGTCAGAGGGTGATTTCGAGTAGTGGTCAGAGGGTGATTTCGAGTAGTGGTTTTTGTATACTGTATCGATCAGCTCTTCCTGGATAGGATTGATCATAATACTGTGGCATCTTGCATCAGCAAGCGTGTCTGTGCCGCAGATTTCGTCACAATCGGGATGTAGGCGTTACAGAACACCATAGTGTGCGAGTTCTATTTTGATGCCCATAATCCAAGGTCCGAAGTTTTCCCAGTTCTCTAGTTTTGTTCGCTTGTACGCGTCCTTGTACTTGGGGCACTCGGAAAGCGGGATACCAAGATCGTCGGCAGTGATGCCATATTTGTCCGCGTAAGATGCTGGTTTCGGCTTTGTTGCGTGTTCGAATTGCTCGATAATATCAAGTTTTTCTTGAAGCTCTATGCGTACGAAGTCAAGCTCGGCTTGAAGAACACCGAGATTGTCGGTGGATTGTTCCGTTTGCTCGTATAAGCGGGACTGTGCTTTCATGAGGCGTTCGGAGATCTGTGCGTGTTTTGACTTGAGTGTGTCGTGTTTAGCGACGAGTAATTTATGATCATCCCCAAGTTCGACATTGTGCCGTTTGAAACGGTCGACCTCGGCTTGTAGTTCTTGATTGCGTTTGCCTACGCGGTATAGGTTACTCTTGGCAAATGTCAGATGTGCTAGTGCCATAGCTGTGGAAGCGTAGACTTCTTGTCGGCTGATGCGAAGGTCCTGGATGAGGTTGCTAATAATGGCGACTAAGTGTGTGTTGGTAGATTCAAGATTGCTGTATACGGGGCCTTGAGGCCAGTATTCTCGTGCGAATGCTAGTGCGGCATTTAGATTATCAAAGTGTGTTGGCCATTTGACCATTTTTGGACTCTCCATAGTGATTCGTTTAGGTGAAATCACTTACGTGTGAGTTTGTGGTACTTACGCGTGAGTCGTGATGGCGACTGCGAGGATGTAAGGGAATTGTCAGATGTAAGCAACTGTGTGCGTAATGTGTAGTTGTGAGTTTAGAGTGTGCGTGGCGTAGTGTGCAGCGTAGTGTGGTTGGAAGTGTGTTGACTTACTATCGTGTCTAATCGAGGCTCATAACCTGTTAGACAATTGAGTTACGGAAGAAGTGAGCTTTATTTTCCCTCTACTGAGGGTTCTTATTTGACTCTACCGCTCAGGGCGGGAGTCTCTGAATTCCTTTCATCGGTGTCATATACGTGGTTTGACACCTGATAGTTCTAGTACCGAACTGTATTTTTGATATGAATTTGCTGACTGCTGGGTTGTTTGTTTAGTCCTGCCAACAGCCCAAATGCATATCAATACAATTTTAATATAGCGATGGTGCATGTGATATGATACCCATATTCGGTATGGATGGCAGCAAGAAAATCAGTCTGTGCATTGAAAAGGAAACAAAGACAACTTTATAATGCAACAAAACTGATAATGAAGTGCGCGATATCACAGAAATCCCTACATCAAATTGAAATGTTTCCCTGGGTACGAGCTTAATATCGCCAATAAAGAGAACAAAGAGAGAAGGCGGGCAGCGAATACGAATATGTTTTTGAAAATACATTCCAGAACACCAGCGTCGATTAAAACAGAAATTTCTGTAGCTGCAGTTGGACACACTTTCTCATATGAGCTGTATGTCCTTAGGACTCGAGAATGATGAGGAATTACATACGGTCGGAATAGTCGGGGCGCATGTTTTTATATATTCCGCGACAACTGAGAACTTTTTTTCAATATGATTTAAATCGCTACATGTACTTTCAAATTCGGGTTCCTGGAATCCCAACAACTTCGTATGAACTATCGTGAACTTTCGATATAATGGAGCTGAATGTCGTGTAAGAACTTTTTTCAAGTATTGGGTTGACAAGGCGTGTTTTTTTTGGTTTTGTTTTTGTTTTTGGGGGTTTTTGCACAGTGTTATATCTTGTTTCTGCTGGTTGCTGAGTAGCGTAGTGATAGCTGGAATTTGCGCCAATGCGCCATTAGAGGTGTAGTATCAAAAAAACAAGAGTATATCTGGGAACGATGACATTCGTGGGCGGTTTTGTAGATTCGGAGCCTGTGATGACTGATTGGTGGTTACTACCCCAAAATGTAGATCTACTGTCGCTGAGCCTTGCCCACGTGAGGAAGTGTATGCGTTTCAAGCGCTCAACCATCCAGATTAAAACAGTCGCAACCCTTTCACTTCAAGAGCCCGGACTATTAGCTATAAGTTAATATTGAACCAAAGGCCTATTCCCGAATAATGACTCACCCCGAAGTGCGACAAATCTGCCGAAAGGCCAGCCAAAATATTTGGCCATACAATCACCCACAATGATGACTCGACTTCGCCAACCATAAAGAATTTAGCGACAGCACGAATCGTCTCAATGCAACTTGGAAGAGCAATATCGGTATACCATTTCCCCTTGACATGTCGGACAGAGAGTTGTCATTCGTGACAATGAAGACGACGAAACAAAAATGAGTGGCTATCTCACAGTGTACGTCCGTGTATCAAATGACGAAGCACTAGCAACTATGTTGACAGGTAGGGATGGTATACCCTTCTATCTCACAGACAGGTACTTTACTATTCAACTGGCAAGTTATGTATGGCTATCCCGCAACCAGCAGTGAACGCGGTCGAGATGTACTGTCAGATTTATTGGAATGCGACGCTTTCAATGCTCAGTGCGTTTGTTCAGTGTTAAACTCGCCGTATGATCAGGTGACTGAAGTATGCGAATGTGCGCCTCAGTACCGAGTACGGACGGTAAATCAGAGATGAAACCGAACTCCGGATTGTGCGAGTGCCCTATTCCTGGCAATACTTTTAATAACTGTAGATGCACAGGCTAAGGTTTAATATCGACGCCGCTGAGGTCATCGTTTGTTTACAGTGAACGCCTATGTAGTCGAAACACTGTATTGATCAAGCATGAAGTCCTTAACTGACTCAACGTTACTTGAAGAAGAGTCGCTGGTGAAAACCACTTCGTTATTGAGCCAATTCTCAGTGGAGGTACATTCATTAATGCCGCCGAATTTTCTAGTAAGCCCATGCAAGTCTACCTCACAGTACTGACTTTAGCTAGTCAGGCACTGAGAACCAGCTGACCATAACATTGGCCGCTAGGTATAACATAGACTATTTCTACATAGATAATGCTGGTATGTGCTGGAATGGGCTCGTCTGTGAATAGTGCCCTCACTACAGGGCTCACGTTTCTGACTGGTTGCTTGCCACGTATGATAAGTTGTGTGCTGAACGCCCAGTCTTTATACGACTAGTGGCCACAGAATGCTATGTGTTTAACGAAATCAAAGAGGAGTACGGTTGTCCAATCAAGCAACTCGCCGATCTCGATCAATGTGAGAACCTATTAAAACCGTGCAGTCTGTTTATGGCAGGTCTTTTAATATGTCGAGATATTTTCTGGCCTGGTGACGAAAGAAGAAAAGAGTGGGGTACTTGGTACCCCAAAGTTAGGATTTTGTATATCGATTACATGAAGATTGTGGAAAGCTTCGCAAGATATGTACAGAGTGCGATATCAACGTCGCTGACCCTGAACCTGGTGCACAGGTTCTACTACATGGACACTCGCGCTACCGCGAACAGATTCATAGAACTGAACAGCACCCAATGTCCAGGTGACGTTCATCATAACTGGGCTCTTCACGGTGTGGATATGAACGGCAATGCAGACTAACGATCTTACAAGGTTAAAAGCGAACAACTGGGCGATATAAAACTTTTGAATTTAAGCCTGCAGTATTTGTTCTGAGTGGTTTTCGGCGGGAATGGAGAACCGTGGCATCAGCACCGACGTGCGTGAGTGCCGGAGTATCACTGCCACGTTGGAGAGACTCGCAGAAAATGCCAGTCCCACCAATATTGAGACAATTGGAAATGGGGAAGCATTCACCAATGCTGCCGCGACGCCAAGCATGGCTGTCTCACGGGGATGGACAGCGACAATATTGCGATTGTAGACCTATTGATAATTGCACAGACGGAAAAATTGAACTCGTCTGCAACGACCTACCGTGGGTCACCTGGCTGTGACAGTTGACAAACCACTATATAGTTAGTGCTGGTGCCTACGCCAATAATTATCCCTACGCCAATGGCTCGCCTACTGACTGCTTTTCTCATAACTTGTAGTGGTATGTGTGCTACACCTCCCCCATTTCCAGATAATGTTGGGCTTGTTGATTGGGAATGTCCGCCAGCGCAGATTCGTGACACAGGCGGTAAGTCCTGTAAATGTGTACCACCCACACATTGAACTCGGACTCTTACTGACAGAGTGTCCCAACTTACCAATACAGATAGTGCATTGTGTGTGTGCCTGCCACTTTCCGGCCTGTGCGAATGTCTTACTGCTGAAGAAAGTGGAAAGTACGATTGCCTGGTGCGCGAAGTCGCAAATCTAGTCTGCCGTGATATCGAGGCTGGGCCTTACAGCATTTTGTTTTAGGAAGTATCCGGAAATCAGTCGATAGCTGGGCTGGTGATAAGAAGCACTTCCGGTGAGACCAATTTAATATTGGGACGACTCAAACGGCGAAAACGATTATCAATGCCGCCAAAGATTGGGTGAACCCACTCAAAGATACCTTCCCGAATCAGCTGCGATCGCGGACTCGCTAAAAAAAAGAACGGGGCAGATGGAACTTGCTGTGCCCGACCGTACCAATACTTCTCTGGTTGTGACAATGGGACGAATCACTATATTGGGAATGCTGGGTATATGCCGCTGAAAATATCACCGTCCGACTGGCTGTTCGGGACACGTGCTGCGGCGTAGCGGGAATTGAATAACTGGATCACGAACTACACAATGATAAATTTATGGTTGTCGTCGACAGAGACGAATTCCACCGGGCCGGAATAGAAGAAGCAGTTTGTGTGGGACATACCGATACAGACGTTCAAATTCGAGGTCGAGGGCGCAAGCGAAGGGTATCTTCGGATTACAAGAACAGTCAGAGCGTTCAAGAACGAGGTGGAGCACTCTCTGACACTGTCACTCGAATTAGAAACAGGCTGTCGTTCTACGCTGCAAATGAAGTAAGCATTGAGAGCAAATCACACTGTGGATACAATAATCGCAGACTCTTAAGATTGAATCTCCTATAAATTGTCGCTACTTGGGATACTAGTCAATGTGCCCGTCAAGTGCGAAAGCCATATCACGTACAAGGTACAACCCCACACGCATAAATACATGGACCTAAGTAAATAACAACGCGGCTCTCAAATGCCTCACCGAGATTTTACGAGATACGACACTGGCTGAGTTACACACTCAAAGATGTTGGACAATTTACCAGCGACCTCGACACCCAGGTGATCGATTGTGCTTGCCTGGATGTGGCTAGGTAGTGTGTCCGTCGAGTGCAGAACTCGCATCCCGTACGAGGTCCAAAACCGCATGCATAAGTAGGTGAACCTGTGTATGTAGCAGCGCTATTTTCAAATACATCACACCCATGCGGTACAGTATGCTTGCCTGGATATGGACATGGGCAAAGTTCGAGACACTGATGGTTCTGTACGTTTCCAACATCGCTAGTGCCAAACCTACACACCGGAGTGTACCGGAAGAAAGTGGTGAACACAACAAATTCTCGAGTGACGGAGTTATACAGACCATCAACTCGGTTTCACGCGAGTACTGATGAGCGTTATCTAAGGGTTACTGGAACTTGGGCGTAAAGGCAAGGTGCAAAAGTACACACTTGATATAATGTAAAAACTCAAATCCTCAGAAGAGCTCTAGGACGGATAATTGAACGTAACTTTTTGGTATGCTGGTATTATGCGCTTAAAAACAATGGCAGGCATCATTTTTCGAGTATGCTTAAGTTGTTTTAACTATGGTATCACTTTGCTAAACCAACAATAAAAGTACCATACCCGACAACTGCGTATATTCATCTTGCCATCGATATAGCACAATGCCCTCGACTACGATGCGCGTGACAGGTGTTACCATATTACCTATTGATCCCCAGAAAATGAACATCAGGATCTATGATCGCTACTTAACAGACTGATACGAACTGTACTAAGTGAAAGTCGTTATTGCGTCCCTTTATATAGTATTTACTAATATGTGCAGATATTCTTGTGTACACTCATGGGTTTTTAGAGAGAGAAATTCCTGATCAAGGTTTACTCTGAACAATCCCGAAATTGTCACTTTAGTTTTGTAAGGGCATATAATCTTGTCAAAACTCTCGAAGCCTTTCAGAATGAATTGCAGTCTGAAACACAACTGTCTGAAAGTACGCACTTCGCGGCTCGTGATCGCAAAGTGACACTGAAGTGTTCTCAATTGGTCACCTAAATGCATTCGCCGTACAGTGATAGCACTCTAGTGCATTCAACCGTATCTACATCCTTTGCCAAGTTTTGTAAGGGCGATATACATATCAAACCTTGACGCAATTATTTTTTTGTAATGACCAGTGGCACTTCTTAAGTTGGCTACAGTTCATAACATGAGTTGCACAAGATACGGGACTGGTCTCCAGGTCCGTCCATCATCTCTCACACAAGCACACATTCGGCTGAAACCCCTTAAACCAAGCCTTGCCCCCGTATTGACGTGCGAGCATCCATTCCGTGCTGGATTTAAGATCCACGATCTCTGCTCGTGCTGCACGTCCCTACCACGAGATTATTCCTTTGTGCACGGCCATACGCCTTGCTTAACGTTTTAAGCTCTATTTTCTGTCACATTGCCACATTGTTATGCTGTTCGCCTCAAAGTCACAAATGCTCGTCGCTTTCGTTTCCGTACAAGGCATGTACAAGTCGAACTACTATTTTTCGGTCAATACTACCCCTGGCTGTGCTGTAACCTGATACTGCAATGCGTTCCGAGGAATGGTCTTTGGATTTTAATTTATGTTATAGATCAATTGTCGTGCGAATACTTCTCCATACTATTGCCGTCAAGCGACCCTGTGCCAAGTGGTGCAGATGGCACGCGTAGTCTTTTAACAATGCCAACCATCCATATCCTACGGTATGGGGTGCATTATTATTCACATGTTTGTCGGGTCTTATCCTATCACATCTTACAGTACCTGATTCAATCTAATTTTAATCTCTACGTTAGTGCTACAGGCGCTTTGAGTCATGGGGCACTGCATATATTAGCAGCCGCCGTGACTGGCGACCCAGGTGATATTCACTGTCACAGTGCTAGTCGCTATATATCGCGCTGCAAGGCCATGTTTACAGAATACATCTTGTATCACTAATTGCTGATATGGTCTCAGTGATGTAGCAACCCCTGCTTTTTACTACCAGCTCATTGCTGATGGCGTATCAAGTACAAATCATTTTGCTAATCCCCACGTACCCTATTGTGGCATCCATGAAGTACTGTATAGTTGCATGGCTACCTACATGTGTCTCTCACTCTCTCGCTGTCAGACGCGCGGTTAAAGTGGACCAGGCGTTGTTCGTAGCACCCTGGTATCTGTTCATACTGCATGTTACATAGGTGTAATATCTATTTGCTTTGTTCCGTTCACCTGTCGGAGGTTATCTCCCCATACTAGTATTCACGGAACCCTGCTGTGGCCTTCTAGCACACATCGGTACTATGTATGTACACGTGTGCAATTCATTCGCCAAATTTGCGTTTTACAGCCCCGTATATCCTCGATTTTTTCTAAAGGGGCCTTCGAGTGCACATTGGTTCGGTGTATATCAACACTGGTATCACCCCAGTCCCTATTGGTTGGCTGTTTCACATACGTTTGTTATTGACCTAAGCCAGTGCTGACTTTACAAGTCTTATCCGGTCACCTCTCTCGCACTCTCTCGCACTCTTGAGTAGTGTAGTAGTCCAATCCCGTAGAGTGTTTGTACACCTAATGAAGACAAGTCAGAACAGACTGCTCTGCACCACAGATATACATTATATGCCTCAGAATACCATATATTTTACATCTATGCCACCCATAAGCCGTGTCATCTGCAGATACACCTCGATGTGCCGTAGGCACTTGCGTATACTCGGTCGTTTCGTGTATCTCATACGCGTACTATGTAAGTAACCCAAGTCATATATCACTGCCGTGTACACATACGTATACTACAACTTTTCGCGTGCCTCGTACGCAGCCTACAATAATATCCCAAGACATGTACCACTGCGTACACACTTGCGCGAGCTAAGACGGCCCGTGTATCTCAATCGCGTACACCGGCATTAACCCAAGCCATATATCGCAGGCGTAGTATGGCGTGTTGTGTTGTGCTGATATTAAGCGGTTTAGTCGACCTCCACACTTTCGCCCTCGAAAGAGCCGACCCGTGGCGAATGGAGTACAGCACTGTTCCGAATGCCAAAGAGCGTGATAGTTGTACGTGGTTAGCTTGCATAGGTGTATTGTGAGTTCGGCTAGTAATTGATAGCTTTGAATGGAACGGGCTGGAGGATGCACGTTAGGTTTCACGTACACAAGAAGAATATAGCACAGCAATGTCTTGATGAGAATGATGGATGTGCGGGATTGTGTTGGATATATAACCTGTTCTTAACAACTCACTAAAAACTGGGCTCATGCTGTGTGTCCGATAATTGCTTGTATACATGTCTCACAAAATGCACATAATAGTTACAACCAGAAATACAACATTCATACAAAGCTCAGCCAATCCACAACAGCCGATACACACCCACCTCGTTACCCCATTTGGCGAGTCAGGTTGATGTTTAAACAGCGGCCTGCTGTCCTGCCCCTCGGCGAGGTCATCGAAGGACGGGGCGTTGTCCTCTTTCAGCATCAGGCCCGTGTGACTGGTGTCCGCGTCATACTCATCCAGTCCGTCCGCCATCTGTGGCATTTGAATTGGTAATGCACGTATTGATGTGAATGCGTGGGTAGTATCTTCGATGGGTATGTTTTGGAAGTGATGAAAATGAAAGTATCGTTGATTACGATGTCAGCAATATTTGCAAGTAGCCAAATGACAGGACAATATACTTTCTTCGCTTCAACGGGATAAACACCCAGTCCGTCCAGCACCTGTGGCATTTTGTATTTGCAATATACATATAAGCCTAATAGTACGTGTACAGTATATTCCACCCGTGGCGTAGCATATAATTCAGCGTTGACAGTAGCCACGCGAGGTGATGTGAGTACACCCAGATCTCGGATATATATATATAT